CCCTCCCTGCGTGCCTGGCTCCTCTGGGGTCCCCACTGCCACGGGGCTGCCTTCCCGTGGCTTCCAGACAGTAGTGGCGATGCGGGGGGCCAGCGGGGGGGCCAGCGGGGGGGCCTGGACAGAGCGAGTCCCAGCCCCGTCACTCCCGCCCACCGTCCACCCCGCCACAGCCTCCCGGGACCAAGGGGGTCCCAGAAGGACGACACTGACCAGCTGACTTGCCTGCCTCCCTCACCTCCCTCGCACACTTAACCAACCGTGGGGGATTCCTTACACACACACACACACACACACACACACTGTCTGTGTCTCTGTATCTCTCTATCTCTGACCTTATCTCTGTTTGTCTCGTCTGTCTGTCTCTGTCTCTCTATTTCCCTGTCTCTGTCCCTCTGTCTGTCTGACTCTCTGTATCTCTGTCTTTGTCTCCCTCTCTCTGTCTGTTTCTCCCTCTCTTTGTCTCCCACTGTCTGTCTGTCTGTCCCTGCGTCTCTCTCTGTCTCTGTCTCTCATCTACACTTGCCCATGCGCTCATTTCTCATGGCATCTCCATTCAAACATTATTAGATGTAATAACAGATATCTCCGCAGAGGAAACACCCGAAGCAAACACGGTGCAAAATAGACTTAAAAAGAAACTGAATTTCACTGGAGCTGGGAGAGGGACGGGGACTAGAAAATATGTGGGTTCAAGGTACAGCAGTGAAGCCAGGCACCGGTGCTCACATCTGCCATCCCAGCTACTCAGGAGGCTGAGATCTGAGGATCACAGTTCAAGGCCAACTCGGGTAGGAAAGTCATGAGACGCTGATCTCCAATGAACCACCAGAAAACCGGAAGCGGTGCTGTGGCTCAAGTGGTAGAGAGCCCGTCTTGAGTGAAAGAAGCTCAGAGACAGTGCCCAGGCCCAGAGTTCAAGCCCCAGGACTGGAAACTAGATATCTAGATAGATACCTAGATATCTAGATAGGTAGAGAGATAGATGATAAATAGAGCAACAGTTAAGATCTGTTTCTCAAAATTCATCCTGAATCTGGGTAGATTCAACCTAGAGAAAGGTCTAAAGCTGGGCACTGGTGGCTCATGCCTATAATCCTAGGTACTCAGGAGGCTGAGATCAGAGGATCGAAGTTGGAGGCCGGCCCGGGCAGGAAAGTCTGTGAGACTCTGATCTCCCATGAACCACCAGAAAACTGGAAGTGGCGCTGTGGCTCAAGTAGTAGAGCGCCAGCCTTGAGCTGAAGAGCTGAGGGACAGCGCCCAGGCCCTGAGTTCAAGACCCACAACCAACCAGAGAAAGAAAGAAAGAAATGCACAAAGTGTCCAGACATCTCCATTGGTGCCATGAATGTGGGAGCCATTTCCAGCTTCAGGACTCTGGGCCTTTTGCAGACCTTTCTCGGGAAGGGGGGG